ATATGTCAATCTTTAAATCTTCCCGGGTCAATACAAATTATGAATACATTTTTCTCACTTTTTTTTTATTATTAGATGTTATCATTCAATTTTCAACTATCAACATTCGGTTTCGACATTCAATATTCGTTTTTGAACATCGAACACTTCATTTTAATATTCAGCATTACTTTTTCGACATTCAACATTCGAGCATTTAACATTAAACATTTCTTTTTAACATTCAACATTCGATTTAAATATTCAACATTCATTTTTTAGCATTCAATTTTCGTATTTCAAAATTCATTGTTCGATTTTAATATTCAATATTCGATTTTGAACATTCAACATTTGATTTCAATATTCAGCATTCGCTTTTCGATATTCAACATTCGTTTTTCAACATTAAACTTTTTTTTAAAGTTCAACATTTGATTTCAATATTCAGCGTTCGTTTTTAAGCATTCAACATTCGTTTAAACAATCAACATTCGATTTCAATAGTCAACATTTGATTTCAGTATTCAACATTCGATTTGGATATTCAGCATTTGTTAATCAACATTCAACATTCGAACTTTCAATATTCGTTTTTCAACATGCAACATTTGTTTATCAACATGGAACATTCGTTTTTCAACATTCACTTTTTTTAATAGATTTCCAACATTTAATTTGCAATATTCAATATTCAAATGCAGTTTTCAACAGTCGTTGTGCAACATTCAACTGTAATATTTAACAATCGTATATGATGAAGACAACATATTTTAATGTTGAATACGTATATCAACTATGTTCATTACCGAATCAAAAAAAGAATCTAATGATTTCTTGTCAGCTTTTTCTCGTTTTATCCATTTAGAGCAGTAAGTACGGAGTGAGTCGTGGATGATGTTACGACACTCATTCCAATTAATAATTGACGGGGGGCGATATTTAGGTCCTTTACTGAGGAATGATTTCAACTCTCGGTCACGAACGATGTTAAGGTCTCCTGTTATAACATGGGAACTGGGGCCATAAACGTATTCGGATTTACTGCAATTTCATGAGGTAGGTGTATTGTCACTGATATTAACATATTTTCACACTTCGCTGTAATTAAACACATATTACCGGGTAGATTTTTTGTAAACATAACAAATAAGAGGGAGTTCAGTATTATCAAAATAGCCAGGAATTTGTTCTTTAACAGAATGATCATTAAAAATACCGGCAATATTTACAAACTCAAAACTTTTATTGACATATTTAATTTTAATAAAATGGTTTTTTTTTGTGATCTTCAGGGCGATCAATTTTGGGAAACAATTTAGAATAACAATATGCAACAAGAAATGATTGTAACAGGATGCTGTTACGAAGTCTCCTAAACGAGGCTCCCATAAATCGTAATTCCCAGGTTCGCCTGACATTGGGCAACGTCCAGTGAAAATTGGTTTGGTCCAGTAAAGTTATATGCATTAGTGATGCCTGGGGACTAACCCTGTATATCATTCAAATCATCTTGGCATGACAAACCAGAATATATATGGTTAAGGGGTGGGGATCTCAACCATTTACAAGATACTAGAACATTGAGGGTGGGGGGAACCCCTGGGGACTGACCCTATACATCATTCAAATGTTCGTTACATGACAAACCAGAATATATATGGTTTAGGGGTGGGGATCTCAACCATTTACAAGATACTAGAACATTGGAGGTGGGGGGAACCCCTGGGGACTGACCCTATACATCATTCAAATGTTCGTTACATGACGAACAGGAATATATATGGTTTAGGGGTGGGGATCTCAACCATTTACAAGATATTAGAACATTGGGGGTGGGAGGAACCCCTGGGGACTGACAGTATTTGTCATTCAAATGTTCGAGACATGACAAATAGGAATATATATGGTTTAGGGGTGGGGATCTCAACCATTTACAAGATATTAGAACTTTCTCAAATGGCAGGGGGTCGGGATGACCCCTGGGGACTAACCCTGTATATCATTCAAACCATCTTAGCATGACAAACCAGAATATATATGGTTTAGGGGTGGGGATCTTGACCACTTACAAGATATTAGAACTTTTTTAAATGACATGCGGTGGGGGTGACCCCTGGGGACTAACCCTGTATATCATTTGATTTGCTTAATCATGACAAACCAGAATATATATGGTTTAGGGGTGGGATCTCGACCATTTACAAAATATTAGAACTTTCTCAAATGGCAGGGGGTCGGGATGACCCCTGGGGACTAACCCTATATATCATTTAAACCGTCTTAGCATGTCAAACCAGAATATATATGGTTTAGGGGTGGGGATCTTGACCACTTACAAGATATTAGAAATTTTTTAAATGGCATGGGATGGGGGTGACCCCTGGGGACTAACCCTGTATTTCATTTGATGTGCTTTATCATGACAAACCAGAATATATATGGTTTAGGGGTGGGGATCTCGACCATTTACAAGATATTAGAACTTTCTCAAATGACAGGGGGTCGGGATGGCCCCTGGGGACTAACCCTGTATATCATTCAAACCATCTTAGCATGACAAACCAAAATATATATGGTTTAGGGGTGGGGATCTTGACCACTAACAAGGTATTAGAACTTTCTTAAATGGCAGGGGGTGGGGGTGACCCCTGGGGACTAACCCTGTATATCATTTGATGTGCTTTATCATGACAAACCAGAATATATATGGTTTAGGGGTGGGGATCTCGACCATTTACAAGATATTAGAACTTTCTCAAATGGCAGGGGGTCGGGATGACCCCTGGGGACTAACCCTGTATATCATTCAAACCGTCTTAGCATGTCAAACCAGAATATGTATGGTTTAGGGGTGGGGATCTTGACCACTTACAAGATATTAGACCTTCTTTTAAATGGCATGGGGTGGGGTGACCCCTGGGGACTAACCCTGTATTTCATTTGATGTGCTTTATCATGACAAACCAGAATATATATGGTTTAGGGGTGTGGATCTCGACCATTTACAAGATATTAGATCTTTCTCAAATGACAGGGGGTCGGGATGACCCCTGGGGACTAACCCTGTATATCATTCAAACCATCTTAGCATGACAAACCAAAATATATATGGTTTAGGGGTGGGGATCTTGACCACTTACAAGGTATTAGAACTTTCTTAAATGGCAGGGGGTGGGGGTGACCCCTGGGGACTAACCCTGTATTTCATTTAATGGGCTTTATCATTTAGAACATTTTCAATTAAAAAGATTGTGTTTATCACAAATGGTGTTTATCACAAATGGTTTTCAATTTATAATCATTTGAAAATTTTAAAAAATAAAATCCCATAGGGTTCTATAGAAAAACCCTCTTTTCTTTTTGCCCCTCAAAGTACCCCTTTATAAACCCCATTACACAAACAAAACTCTGATTGCACCACTAGACATGTTAGTCTAACATATTGTGAAACCCTAAGTTAATCTGACAAGCGGTTTTGGAGAACGGGTGCGGACAAGTTAAAATTTAAAAGCGGCGGAAGAAGAAGAAGAATAATAATAATAATAATAAGAACTGAGCAAAAACAATAAGTCTTCCCAAACTTCGTTTGGGAGACTTAATTATAATTTTGACGATTTCATACTTAGGACTGCAATATGGAATTAATAGATAGTGTCTACCGTTGTTTTTTTAAATAGAAATTAGGTCCGAAATATTTGTATTGTTATTACGAAATTTTCTTTGATTGCGATTTATTCTACGCCCATGAGAACGGGTTTTACGTACTGTTTTAGAGACTATATCCAAAATGTTAACAGAATCTGTTCTAGATATATTACCAATTCCCATGATATTGTCGTTAAGACCGAGAGGATAGACTGTCTGTAATTTTTTAATCCAATTTATTTCAATTATTTTTCGTAATAAGCCAATTCAAACTTAATGAAATTAGGCACACGATGTGCCTAAGGAAACAGTTAGATATAATGACGTGAGTCAATTTAAGCGACAGATTTCGGAAGCGTTGATTTTAGGAAAATAATCCACGGTAAGTGAAGAAACTGACGTCATGGCAATGGTTTAAAGCTTACAAAAGCATATTAGAAATAAATTTAAACGATAATGTCGTCATCTAAAATGTTTCGTTTCTCTGTGTAATTGGTTGCAAGGAAAGATTTTGTGAACATTTTGATATGTATCCTTATTAATGTCAATATTCATTTTACTTTCAGTGTCATTATGAAACACTGAATGTAATGCATAACGATGTTTATCACGATAAGGTGACCTACGTTTCATTTTGGGGGCAAAGAGTATGAGGATTTTTTCGAAGATGGAATTTTTTATTTCACCTGTTGCTAGTCACACTTCTTTATTTCATTCGATTGATTGATTGATTGTTGGTTGCTTAACGTCCAGTGGCAAATATTTCATGCATATTCAGGACGAGAACAAGTTCACAATAAATACAATAGGTAGGTTCTGTAATAGATTAAGGGGTTAAGGTCGGAGAAATTTAGACTGCCACGGGAAATGAGGGTATATTGGATAGGGACAGAAATTTAGCCTTCCAACAGGTCACCTACGGACCCCTCAAAGAGTTGTTGCAAGGGTTCTTAACGTGCAAAGAGCGTGGCACTCTCTTTACACGAGGCATCGGATTTAACGTCCCCATTCTGACCGGACGTGGCTGCAAATTTGTACATCCCGCACAGCCAAACGGACGCCCCACTTTAGCACGGGTTTTACTGCCGGTCGGAGGAAGACCAATGGTGACCATACTTCTATTCCCCAGTCACCCTTGGGGGGCTATTTCATTCGAAAATGTATTTATAAACACAAATATATCCTGCATTTTTTTGGGGAAAATATGTATTTTCATACGGTCTTAGATTACTTATTCACAGTTCTGACCGGTTCAATACATTCATTATAAAAGTCTATTTCTCCTCGAGAAAATGAAATAGTCGTCTACTCATAATTGTAAAACACTAAAGGGAATAAAGAATCCACAACAATCCACAAATCTCCAATTTAACATGAACGATCATCTCAGTACCAGAATCTAAAACTAACGTGACGACTTTAATTTTGAAATCAATATTATTCAAGTTTTGGTAATATCCTTTTGGCGTTGATCCGTATTTATACATCCCACCATTGTGGTATTGTGCTATGATCATTTTTTTTGTGTTCTAGTCTTTAACTTTTCCTTATGTGCTTTGCCTATAGAGTGTATATATGCCATTTTGTTTTTCTTTGTTGACATAGTTGTTTGTTTTAGAGTTTTTAGTTGACATAGTTGTTTGTTTTAGAGTGTTAAAGATTATAACGCAATGTTGAGTGCTCTACCCCAATATTTGGCACTTACAATGTGTATTTGTTTTGCTTACACATTGTTGTCAGTATAACGGAATTCTATGCCACTGTCATACAAGTGAAAGGTTTAGCTTGGTATCAAGCCAGGCTTAATCCACCATTTCCTACATAAGAAAATACCTGTACCAAGTCAGAATATGACAGTCGTTTTCCATTCGTTTGGTGTGTTATAGCTTTTGATTTTGTCATTTGATAAGGGACTTTCCGTTTTGAATTTTTATTGGAGTTCTGTATTTTTGCTATCTTGTTTTTCATATTGTAATGATGTAAAATAGATTATCATCTTTTTATTTTTCAGCTGCTACTGCAGCAGATATCACTGGTGCACCAGCTATCACTGCTGCATCATCTACCACCGCTGCATCAGCTACCACTGCTGCACCTACCCCAACTACCACAACTAGTGATAATGGCAACGGGTTTTAAGATATTTTGTGTGTACCCAACATGTGTTTCTTGTACTAAAATAATTATCAATCTGTAATCTTTCATTGCATATCTGCACAAATTAAACGAGATGTGGGGAATTCCTAAAAGAGACAACATTATACGAGGTTTTGTTTGGGGTTTACAGAAGAGACAACAAATGCATATAGTGGAGGCCCAGAAATAAAGAATAAAGAAATAAGAAAAAATATAGAATACGGGTGCTGAAATATAAAGAATATATTATAGTGGACAAAACAATTTTTAAAAGAACTGCTGGCTTAAAAAATACATAAATAAAGAAATGAAGACCCCATCCAGGCTGACAAAAATAAAAACAAAAGATATCTACAGGGCTTTAAATAGACTTTAAAAATAGACATTCATCCACATAATATGTCAATCTTTAAATCTTCCCGGGTCAATACAAATTATGAATAAATTTTTCTCACTTTTTTTTTATTATTAGATGTTATCATTCAATTTTCAACTATCAACATTCGGTTTCGACATTCAATATTCGTTTTTGAACATCGAACATTTCATTTTAATATTCAGCATTTCTTTTACGACATTCAACATTCGAGCATTTAACATTAAACATTTCTTTTAAACATTCAACATTCGATTTAAATATTCAACATTCATTTTTTAGCATTCAATATTCGTATTTCAAAATTCATCGTTCGATTTTAATATTCAATATTCGATTTTGAACATTCAACATTTGATTTCAATATTCAGCATTCGCTTTTCGATAATCAACATTCGTTTTTCAACATTAAACTTTTTTTTAAAGTTCAACATTTGATTTCAATATTCAGCGTTCGTTTTTAAGCATTCAACATTCGTTTAAACAATCAACATTCGATTTCAATAGTCAACATTTGATTTCAGTATTCAACATTCGATTTGGATTTTCAGGATTTGTTCATCAACATTCAACATTCGAACTTTCAATATTCGTTTTTCAACATGCAACATTTGTTTATCAACATGGAACATTCGTTTTTCAACATTCACTTTTTTTTAATTAGATTTCCAACATTTAATTTTCAATATTCAATATTCAAATGCAGTTTCCAACAGTCGTTGTGCAACATTCAACTGTAATATTTAACAATCATATATGATGAAGACAACATCTTTTAATCAGTTTAACTGAGGTCTGGAGCTGGCATGATACGAAATTTCTAACTTCTCAGTATTCGTGATGGTGCTTCAGAAAATTTATTACAATTAACGCTGCTACATTGCATGGAAATCACTAATGGTCCATTACATTTCATGTCAGATCCACCCCATCTTATAAAAAATTGAGGAAAAATATACTCTTAAATGGCCAACATGATGTTCATAAAATGAGAGTCTGGTTTGATGGAAAAGATATTATTTGGGAGCATTTTGTTTCTGTTTATAAAAAAAGAAATAGTAAGAGCCCTAACAAAGTTGAATGAAGATTGATTGATTGATTGTTGGTTGCTTAACGTCCAGTGGCAAATATTTCATGCATATTCAGGACGAGAACAAGTTCACAATAAATACAATAGGTAGGTTCTGTAATAGATTAAGGGATTAAGGTCGGAGAAATTTAGACTGCCACGGGAAATGAGGGTATATTGGATAGGGACAGAAATTTAGCCTTGCAACAGGTCACCTACGGACCCCTCAAAGAGTTGTTGCAAGGGTTCTTAACGTGCAAAGAGCGTGGCACTCTCTTTACACGAGGCATCGGATTTAACGTCCCCATTCTGACCGGACGTGGCTGCAAATTTGTACATCCCGCACAGCCAAACGGACGCCCCACTTTAGCGAGGGTTTTACCGCCGGTCGGAGGAAGACCAATGGTGACCATATTTCTATTCCCCAGTCACCCTTGGGGGCCGTTGAATGAAGATGCAATTTACCTACACAATTTCTCGAAAATGAGTTAATCTTGCAGTACATGCGTTAAGTGAAGTAGTTACGAATGAAATGGAACACAATTAAAATGAGGCAACAAAATCTACACAAACATATTACAGAAAAAGTTGCTTATTATTTAATATTTCCAAATAGTAACAACGACCCATGTATCAAGCAGCTTGATGATATTCGAACTTATTTTTTTTAAATGGGAAAACAACCTTAAAAACAAATATATTATGCCAAGTGAAATTGATAAGCACAATATTTCTTGGCAACAATGGCAACGTGTGCACCTTACAGTATCTGGATCCGTAGATTAGGTAAAATAAACCATCAAACCATCAAAACCCATATAATACTTAAAAATCTTAGTCAAGATAGTGTTGAATCATGGTTTTCTGAGCAATATGCATGCTGTGGTAGTCGTGAACCATACGTTATGCAGTATAGTTAAAACTATACAAAACTGTGATCCATGAAAAGGACTAGCATACTCACAATACAAGTTATGGTCATGCACGGGGGGTCTCTTCCTATATGAAGGTATATACATATGTGCCGCTGGAATGGGTCCCTTTTTTGATACGTCAGATATATCAATGGGGTGCAATTTTACCGAGGAAATATATCAATAGGTAGTAATTGACCAATTGTGATATATTAAAGTACTATTTGAGCTGATAAATATATGAATGGGTTATGATTTCGCTGTGTATAGGTAGGGATTTCACAATTATTCAATATATGAATGGGGGGGGGGGGGGGGGGTTAAATCCCAACTGCATAACTGTACCCAAAATCCAATGTTGAGCCCCCGCCAGTAATAGAGGAGCTGGTGCGCATTTAGTCAATTACGATAGAAAAACCCGTATTGCAACTATTGACCAACAAGATCAGAACGGCTATGCTGACCTCAAAGATAAACCAGAGATTGATTGATTGTTTGTTGCTTAACGTCCAGTGGCAAATATTTCATGCATGTTCAGAACGAGAACAAGTTACCAATAAATACAATAGGTAGGTCCTGCAATAGAGGCCGTCCGGGATGAAGGTCGGGGAAATTTGGACAGCCACGGGAAAATGAGGGTATATTGGATAAAGACAGACATTCAGCCTTCCAACAGGCCACCTTCGGACCCCTCAAAAAGTTGTTGCAAGGGTTCTTAACGTGCAAAGAGCGTGGCACTCTCTTCACACGAGGCATCGGATTTAACGTCCCCATTTTGACCGGACGTGGCTGCAAATTTGTACATCCCGCACAGCCAAACGGACGCACCACTTTAGCGAGGGTTTTTACCGCCGATCGGAGGAAGACCAATGGTGACCATATTTCTATTCCTCAGTCACCCTTGAGGGTCATAAACCAGAGAAGAAGGTGAATTATTTCATTGGTTTGAAAACAAACATCACAAAACAACAGAAAAGTTTTGTCCGGAATTGGTGTGATCTGCAACTTTGCTACAGTTCCTAACATGATTATCAAAGACTAGAACTACACAAGGTTGTCAAAAATAAAACCAGCCATTTCCGATACAGCAAACGTTATGCAGAAATGTAGACCAAACTGCACCAATGTCATTAATGACTTTAGTATTCAAAGTAATGGTGATGAGGGGGTATGCACTCCACATCTTGCTTCCATCATTATTTTTATTAAGGTTTATGACCCCTTCTGTAGCCATGTGAATTACGAAATTTTCAAACTGCAATAGTATCAAAACAGCAAAGATGATGAATAATAGAGATGGGCAATTTTGAACATATACCAAGGAGAGACTTCGCGCAAAGCTTAATTATTTTTTGTTTCATTGCATTTAATAGAAAAAAGGGATTATATGGCAAATAAAACCAAGATTTTTGTAGAAAATCCAAAGACTTTAATAGAGATTTTTGTTGTAAAATTTTAAACATAGATTACTCACATGTTTTTCTATGATGTGCTAGCGTTTACTGTTTACAAAAAGTCACAAACAACCTTTAAATTAAAAAAAAAAACTCGTCACTAAAGTCGAGGCTCAGCGCACCCTAGAAGGTGTACTTGAATTGGTTAATATTTATATTTGTTTTAACCAATATCTAAATTTATAAACTTGTTTTGAGGAAATCATTGCTAGCACTGCATGCAATAATCCTCTATCTATCAAACATTGAATTGTCAAATATGAGAGCACATGGGGAAAGCACATGGTGGATTTTCTATAAAATTTCTATATCTTTAGCATTGAATCGACACAAGGGTACATAATCCGTAAACATTGAAGGAATACCCATTGTTTCTTCAAGTTTGTTGATGGAGTGCATGTCTCTGCAAAATTAAATGAAACATAGTAAGGATTAATTTATTGAAACACACTGTTATTCCAACAAACTATTGACAAGATTGTTACAGTGACCAACTATTTGATGTATCCATTGCCTGCTAGAAATAATTATAATTGTGTATGAACATTGTGATACAAGTTATCTTGCCAATTAACTTTCTGAGATAACTTGTAAATAAACATTGAGTTAATTTAAGTTGAATGATAGAACTCAATAGTGGGTTTAAAGTATTTAAAGGTGTTGGCATGGTTATCATGCACAGAACAACTTTTTGTACTACCAACGACAAACTAATTTTTCATTCACATGTGTGACGTTGCATGATTCTCTCTCCAATATGTCTCAACTGTTCTAAATAAGTTTGTTGATTCAGTCGTAAACTCGTTTTCAGCATGAAACAACTTAATAATCATAGATATATAGTTAGAGTCAGAAGCCATGTCACGAAATAGAAGTTTCCCTAAAATATAAGTTTCAAATAGAATAAAATGTGTCTGCCACACCAATCGTTGCAATTATGAGATTTAAATTTGTGTGAATTATAAATAGTATATATTTCAAGATTCCGAGGAATAGAACTAACTTGTTCTCGTTCTGAACCGGTTCTATGACTAAAACTATTGTATTGTTTTGAAAATTTACCTTTGTTTCACATGTACTTAAATAAATATACCCTAGTAGATCAATCTAACAACCAAACACACACAAACGTAAGAAAAACGTTTTTTTAACGTTTGTGAATATTGGAAGGAGAATACATCACGTGTCTGAAAAAGTCTATGACTACAGGTTGTTTAACAACTGTTAACATTAATTTGATCTCCACATGATCAGCCTATTTAGAACATAGTCCGGCCAGCAAATCGTTAGTTGATTTAGAAACAACTCGTATGTGTGCGATGTTCAAGTATTCAGCCACGTCCGGCCAGAGTGAGGACGTTAAATACGATGCATCATCTAGAGAGACTGCCACGCCCTGTGCGCGTTCAGAACCCTCGTAACAACTTTTTTTGTGGGTCAGTTGATTTAGAAGCAATTCGTTCAAACTTCTGAGTTTTTTTTATAAAAAGTATGTGTGGGCTGTTCAAGTACGCAGCAACGTCCGGTCATATTGAGGACTTTTAATACGATGCATCATTAAAGGAGACTGCCACGCCCTCTGCACGTACTGGAACTTTTTAAAATCTCTGGGGTATAGACATGTTAATAATTAGGTCCGAATGTTAGTGGTTGGCACGCTGTCTTTACGATAGGAACTATTGCACCAAGTCCTTGAGGAGTACATAGCTAAGCTATGGAAAGCCTCAGCTGTCATATATTAGACATTTACACAACGTTATGCTGAAGCTTTCAATGTAAAGTTAAGACAGCGTGACGATGAATTAAATCATCAAAATGCAAACTTTAAATAATAAAATGCTAAGTTGAATCTGCGTTGTGTTGACTTGCAACTGCAAGTGTTGATGTTGTGAAAGCATCGTGGTAAGCCTCGGCGTTATGATGATATGCCTATAACACGTAACGTTGAGTTGAAACTATATATTGTTAAGTTGACATTACACGATGTTAACTTGCTACTGCATAATGCTTAGACGTCTTCTTCGATTGCTAGGATAACAAATAAAACGAAGAGTTGAACTTCATGATGTTGACTTATTATAAATAAATGTAACGCTTAGATATCACAACGTTATATCATTATAATGTCACGATAGGTTTATCATACTGCATGTAGACTTTAAACTACACGATGTAAAGCTAAACTAGCATAACGTTATACCACTATAATGTCACGATAAGCTTAACATACAATATGCTCACTAGAAATTACACGACGTACAGTTGAAAGTACGTGATGTTAAGCTAAGATAGCATGATGGTATATCATTATAATGTCATGATAAGCTGACCATACAATATGCTCACCTGGAATTACACGACGTACAGTTGAAAGTACGCGATGTTAAGCTAAGACAGCACATTGCTACATCACTATAATGTAACGAAAGGCTTATCATAAATATGCTCACTCAAAACTACACAATGAACTGATGGAAGTACATGATGTTAAGCTAAGATAGCACGATGCTATATCACTTTAATGCTACGATAGATTTACCATACAATGTATTGACTTAAAACTACACGATGCACAGTTGAAAGTTTATGATGTTGAGCTAAGATAGAACGATGTTAGATCATTATAATGTTACGAAAGGCTTACCATACAATATGATCACTTAAAACCACACGACGTACAGTTGAAAGTTTATGATGTTAAGCTAAGATAGCACGATGGTTTATCATTTTAATGTCACGATGGGCTTACCATACAATATGCTCACGTGAAATTAAACGACGTACAGTTGAATGTACGTGATGTTAAGCTAAAATAGCACGATGGTATATCATTAAATGTCACGATAAGCTTACCATACAATATGCTCACTTGAAATTACACGACGTACAGTTGAAAGTACGTGATGTTAAGCTAAGATAGCACGATGGTATATCATTATAATGTCATGATAAGCTTACCATTCAATATGCTCACCTGGAATTACAAGACGTACAGTTAAAAGTGTATGGTGTTAAGTTAATCTAGCATGACATTGTCTTGTCTTTGAAAATTATTCAGCTGAAATATTAAAATGTTTTGTCATGATCCTTATTCACTTGAAAAAATACAGTTTTTGTTGGAGTGGGGCTTTATGATGGGCAGTTGTCATGACATGATGTCAACTGGTGACACCGAAATGCTTAGTGTAAATATTGAATATTCAAGTTGATAATGCAGGACAATAAGTTCAAGTACTGTTATGCAAAGCTCAAACGGCAAAATTAGCAATGAGAGCGATAATGCGTTGACTAGATCAAGTAAGACATTAAGTGAAAACGCTTTACTGCTAATACAAATTTCATTTTGCTACAGTTTCAAACTGGTGATTTTAACTTCAGTTTGCAAACTTTAGACTTAGATATCATTCACAGAAGTGTATATTTAAAATGTTTAGTTCAGAATATATGGTACTGGTTCGCTTTTACATAAACTGGACTTGGTGGTTCAAAGCGTAAAGGGAACAAAGCAATTCAGTATTACAAAATATCACACTGCTATGTTAGCAATACATGCGGTTTGCTTTAATCTACACAATTAAGAGCTACAATTTTACGTCGTTCATTCAAGAAAACATGGCACTCGACCAAATAACTATATTTTAGGCTTTAATTAAAATTGCAGTTTTTATAAATGAGCTCTGTTTACTTTAGAAATATATGTGTAACTGATTGAAACATCATTACCTAATGTCAAGAAAAACACTTCCACAGCTGTAGATAAATTTGTCATGGTCAACAAAATTGTTGGTGAGATAAAATAATTGATGCTTTTAGTCGTTTTCTTTCATATAAATGTCAAAATCGTAAATTTTATTACTTGATATGGCCTTTGTGGCGTTCATATATCGTGTTGTAATGTTATTTAAACAGTACGCCTTTAATGTTCTACTTGACTGAGTGTGTAAAGCAGCTGTTCAGTTGTAGGGGCCTTTAATACACGACGTAAAGTTAAAACGTTATGATGTTGACGTCGACCTTCAACTTTTTAGCACGTGATTTTTGTTTTGTTTTTGGCGGCATTTCATTTACGCAGGTCTACATCATGGCCGTCAGTGTAATAAAAAACGTGCTTGGGCAAATGGGACTTATAGCATTCTTTCAAAATTTTGAAAAAGAAAGAATAGACGAATATATGATAGAGAGTGTATCTGATTCCGAATTAAGCAGGCTTGGTTTGCAAACAATTGGCGATAGGCACCGATTCAGAAAACGAGTTAGGGAAAACATGTCCAACACACCTAACGCTGAAAATGGACCACCTTCCGTGGGATCATCGGCTGCCGTTTTCACGCCAACTTCGGCTATGCGAAGTAACATTTCAGAAATCAGGAATCGCCTATTCCAGCCATATGACATGCGCGGTAGGAAACGAAAAGGACAGGCACACCCTGGTCGTGGCCGAACATGGACAGCCAACTTCGTATGTTTGTCAAACGTAGATGCGTGTACTGTGCCATCTGTACAGGAGAAGGAAATTTTAAAGTGTGCTGGACTTGGTTTAAAAAAAAATAGTATTACTTTGTGATGACAACGAAGAGTCGGTTGTGCAGAAAATTATGTCGGCCGAAGAAACAGAGGATGGAGATGTTCAGGGATTTCCGAAATTAAAATTAGCTGGCGGGTTCGAATTGCTCAAGGCTTCACAAAATTGCTGAACACTTTCTGTTTTAAAATGTAATTGGTCAGTCAAAGAAATGAAAACGGTTATCAGCGCGCAAACTAGAGTGTACATACGCCCAATCCAGAACAATCTGAGTATAGTACCAGAAAAGTCTGAGTCAGGAAAAAAAATGGTTACACGGAGTGAAACATGCCAGTATTGTAAGCAAGACTTTGACGTAAGGGCACTCAGGGCTCATGTAGAGAGTTGCTCCCAATCGTCTGAGGAAACCATGTATTCGAATGCTGAAAATCCGGATAATATGGGACAAATTGTGACTTTTAATGAACCAACAGAAATTACTGTACCAACAGAAATTTCTGTAACTTACACTGATTTTCCAGATCTTGACTTTATGGATGTTATACCTGTTGAAACGATAGATCATATTCACTTGCAAAATATTGAAAACTCGGTTGGAATACAATATATAATTAAAAATTGTATCGAATATTGTAGGGAAAAAAATATTCAGGATCCTGCTGAAATAGTTAAAAAAATGCAACTTGAAATTGTGACGGGAAGACCTTTAGAAATATCCAATATATCGGAGGAGTTGACCGGCCAAACAACTTTTATAAGTGTAGACAGAGAAAATATCATTGAAACAGGATTCGAGGAAATTGAATCGTTGGGTGTCAGTGAATTAAGAAACACATTAGAAGTTTCGTTTTATGGAGAGGTAAGAGCCCTTAATTTATAATTTTAAGAAATTACTATGTCAAACCCGTTTATCCAATACCACCGCGGCTTTTACTCCTTCTCCTTTTTTTTTACTGAAACTACCAGTCCGAGAATAATCTGGCGTATGGTGGCCTTTTAAGTATTGCTGGTGTCATCTGGGATGATTGATGGGTCCGTTTTACGTCATAGCAGTTTCGGGACTATTTTCTATTGAAAAAAACTGTCTACAATTGCATACTTAGGTAGAAAGGGGGTGTCTAACTTAAAATCGAAAGAATTATTTAATTTTTTCAAAAGTATTATAAAAAGTGTGGATGACAGATCTTTTTTCAAGCTACAGGCTGTGCATAATTGCCAGTGGCAGATTTTGTATACATTATATCTAGTAAAACCAATTTTGTGTTAAAACTAAACGACAGAATTTAATATAAAATATAAGATTTAGGTTTTGGAAAATATATGAGAAAAAGTGTGGTAACGTGACTCGTATTCTTCTTACAAAACAAAATAGTTACATTTGCTACACATTCCCTTATAAAAGTAAGATTGTCTGAGTTATCTCCCCTTAATTGGCAAAGTTGGAAAAAATTGAATAATACATAAATTGTTTTGTATTTTTAGGACAGTCATAATAAAAGTTAATCACATAATTTTGTTTATTGTAATGAAAAGTCTTACAAATTAATTACATTCCTCTCAAAGTTTGCCTATTTTTTTTTAAGATCTAGGGCGTGTTTTATTTGTCTCTTCTGCACGTCTCTAGAATGTCTTCTGGTGAAGAGTAAAAAAAAAATAATCTGGACCTCTTCTGGAGATATTCTACGGAAGATCAATAAAACAAAAATTCAATTTGTCGTCGAATGTATAGCAGTTTTTTGTTATGTTGGATGACATAAATGAAGTTTACGATGATTTTATAGAAAATTAAGATACGTCCGGTAGACATGACTAAAAGTGTGCTCTGTTCGTGACATTTTTCTTTGTTCTTTCCTCTTACTCAATTTTGCTAGACAAATCTGACTTAAACCCCCCTTATTTGATTTTTAAGAATAATCTTAAAATGCACAAAAAATCGTCAATGTTCGTCTCGAATATGATCAAAAAGGACATCTTGTCTATCCAATTTTCTTAAAGTAACCAAACTGGATTATTTTTGTATAAAGCAAAGATATCGAAAAGTTCTCAAAATCATTTTTCTCTGGTGGTCCTTGAAGAAAATCTTCTGGTCCTAATTATTACTTCTATTCCAAAATTTCGATGGTCAAAACCTTCGGACCACCACTTTTCAAAAATTTTCATTGTATATGTATCAATATACAAGTATACAATGTATACCAGACATTTCCCAGACTGTTTTTTTTTTTTTGTTTTTTTTTTTTAATAAATCCGTTGGTTGTCATGTTACTGATTGATACTTCAGTCTGGGAGAACACGATTTATTTCAATACTAGTTGTTATTAGCTTTGAACAAACTTCCAGTAATTGCAAATACTCTTATTTCGGTGCTTTTTGTCTATTGTCTTAGTGTAAGTTTTTTTTTGTGTGTCTCGTACCAATCTTTTGAGTTAATCTAATTGCAATTGATTTGTGCAGGTTGTTCTTATATTGTACTGTTACACCACTGTCCCAGCTTCGGGAAGGGTTGAGCGGTCACAAAGATGTTCTTGTACTGTTACACCACTGTCCCAGGTTAGGGGGCCGGTTGGGCCGGATCCCGCTAACATGTTTAACCCCGCCACATTCTGTATGTATGTGCCTGTCCCAAGTCAGGAGCCTGTGATTTAGTAGTTGTCGTTTGTTGCTGTGTTACATATTTGTTTTTCGTTCATTTTTTTTTTTACATTAATTAGACCGTAACTTAGTTTTCTCGTTTGAATTGTTTTACATTTGTGATTTGGGGCCTTTTATGGCCGACTATGCGGTATGGGCTTTGCTTATTGTTAAAGGCCGTACGGTGACCTATATCTGTTAATTGCTGACATTGCTGTGTCATTTGGTCTCTTGTGGAGGGTTGTCTCATTGGCAATCTTCGTTTTTATATCAACCCTGCCATATTCTTTGTGTGTCTGTCCCAAGTCAGGAGCCTATTGTTTAGTAGTTGTCGTTGGTTCATGCCTCGACTCATATTTGATATTTTGTAAATTCTTTTGTTATGTAAAATTAGGCCGTTAGTTTTTTCGTTTGAATTGTTTCTCACACTTTTCACGTCGGGCCTTTTATAGACAACTTTTAATACAATATCGGGTTTTGTCATTGTTGAAGGCCTTAATTACGGTTGCCTATAATTGCTTACAACCACTTCATATTTGAACTCCGGTGGATAGTTGCCTCATTAGCAATCCTATATCTCTTCGTTTTTTTATTATATAAAATTGAGAATGGAAATGGGGAATATGTCAAAGAGACAACAACCCGACCAAAGAGCAGACAACAGCCGATTGACTTTTAAACTCGTGTTTTCCTGAACCGAGTTCTGAACATACATGACATATTTGTCACTGGGCGTTAAAAATTAGTAACAAACAATCAATCAATTTAAGCTTGTGTTAAATAAGATTAAAAACAATTTGATATTTATTCATTTATTGGGGTGGGGGACAGGAGGATTTCATATATGAATATAGTTGCCTGGTAAAAGCTGAAAAATAGGCATAATTAACGACAGATTAAAAAAATGAATAATGCCCTTTTCCCTTCCCCATCCTGCATCTAGAAGTTTAAACTGACCACCACGGAATAGCCCAACTTACAGTTGAAAGTACTGTTAACACCAATCAATCAAAATCCCTTTCCTAGAATATCAAATAGTCGTCCCTTAACTGTTATTGTCCGTGTAGTTCTTGTATTTATCCAGCTTACCGTCCTACAGGGATGTCCTACTAAGACTGTCATACCATAAAAACGTTTATAACGCAGCTCACATTCTAATATATCTGCATTCATAAATTTATTAATGTCATTTAGACTAAACGACGCCATGTTTGTTATGTGCCTCTGCTGTCTAAACTACCCATCAAAAAAGAAAAGGTGGAAGAGAGCCAGAAGATCTTCCCTATTAAAAAAAAACAGAAATGAACCTCTTCTGGCTCACTACCGAAGAACAAAAAAACACGCCCCTAGACCGATTTTGTTTTGCTATATTTTAATCTTATTGATGGGGGGGGGGGGGGGGGGGCAGTTTAAAAGACTATAAAAGTACTATTGCAATATACAAATTGATCTTATCTTGTCATATTTAACCCTTGTTATCATCAAGGCTCCGTTTGTACTCTTATATCTGTACATGATTTTTTTTTTTGTGAAAGATTGTCCAATTCAAGATATTGTTTATGATAAGCTAGGTAGCTTTTAATGAATTGAACCTAAGCCAATCTAATTAAAATATACCGACTGATAAAGATATGGGGTATAAGTCAATGAGAAAACACAAACAAAAAAATCTAGAGGATAACAAAGTACTTTCCAACTTTCTGACAGTAGTCATGGTAGTATCTAAATTTACGAATATACACAGAAACAATTAAATATATGCCACCAACACCAAATTCTTCAACCAACAACCAAACATAACAACTTACGAAATGAATGTGATATCGACAGCCTAGATTCCCGATTTGAGATACTAAGACACAAACGCGGAGTTAAACTTCTTTTTTCAAGATGTTTATAAGATATTTTCATAGTGACACCACAGATATAAAATTTCTACACTTAAGTTGATGTCGGCTGTACACAGGGAAATTTCACTCACGTGAACTGAGATTCATGTGAATCTCATGTGAAATTCACCTCAAACGAGCTTATACACGAAACTCACATGAACTGATTTCACATCAGTTTCTTGTGAAAATCACATGATTTTTTTTCACGTGATATTCACATGAATTTCAAAATAAAGTTATTCAAATAACATCTAATTTTTCAAATTTGTTTAAAATCATGAAAATTACCAAATTTGTTTTCGCAAAGTTCATGTGAAATTCGTTTGAAAAAATCATCGTCACATGAGATTCATGTGAAATTCGTATGAAAATGTTCACGCGAGTTTCATGTATGAGGGTCGTAATGAGGGTATCTTCATGACGAATGACGGTAAAAATTCTTGCCAAATGATGTTAACGGTAATTTTTGGTGCATGACGATAAAATGTACACTTTCTTTTAGACGATAAAAAAATCGACTGATTTTGACGAATCACGTTAATTTTTTTTCTCCAAAACAAAAAATAGTGGTAACGATAATTATTTGAGACCTCTGACGAATCACGGTAAGGATATTTTGACGAATCACGGTAAAATTTTAATCAATTTGACGCTAACGGTAGTCGAAAATGACCGTTTGACGCCTGACGGTAAAGGGCATTCCTTCCCTCATGTATAAGCTCGTTTCAGGTGAATTTCACGTGAAATTTTCACCTGAATTTCACATGAGATTCATGTGAAATTCGCGTGTCTTAGCAAAATTTGCCTGTGTAAGCATTAACAGTTGTAGTAATACAAGTCAATTTCCCGTTTTACGTTCAGTTGACGACTTGGAATCATGATAATGTTTAAGATGTAATGTTAGTATACTTAAAGTAATGGGTCCCTATAAAGTGCGAAACCAGAAAAAGAACAAAACGAAGTCGACGAAAAAAATCAAAACGAAGTCAACAAGAAAATAAAACTAAAGAAAATGGTTTATATTCATATCACATAATCATGTTCTCGTCACTGGACGTCAAATAGCCATCCATCCATCCATAGGTTCTTCTATTGAACCAACATTAATCACTTTCACAAAAGACTGGATGTGTATAATCATCTAGTTTTCTGTTTCCATGTGGGGAAATAACTACCTTTTTTTCCCATATCAATATAATAAAATGTGATGCAAACGTCAGAAAGCTGACAACCCAAAAAGATTACAAACATAGAAATTTAGTTGAAATCATACTTCTTTACTCTCGCATGCGACAAAAGTAAAATGTATGGCTGTTTTTCATTCATTGTTGAAAGCAGTACGGTATTTCAATTGGTATTTCTTAAAATCCCTGAGTAAAATTGTTAACATATATATATTTTTTTTTTTAATTTTATTTTAAATTCACCAATTCTAACGGTATTCTATACGTCGAAATGTGTTGTTCACATGTATCGAGGGATAATTAACCACATAACACGATAAGCTGTCAATCGAAAAAAAAGTCAATAATCTGATATCGGAACAATGAAACATCTCAACAGATCGATTAGTATAGTCCCGTCAGTGTAATAGTCCCAGGTCAAACAAGCCTAGCTAGCGACTTAAAAATACACCGTAAGAGAGAAACTTTTAAAATCCAAAAACATGATCATCAGCTCAATAAGATCTACAAGTCAACAGACTCCTTATATAGATATAAGAAGATGTGGTATGAGTGCCAATGAGACAACTCTCCATCCAAGTCAAAATTTATAAAAGTAAACCATTATAGGTCACAGTACGGTCTTCAACACGGAGCCTTGGCTCACACCGAACAGCAAGCTATAAAGGGCCTCAAAAATTACTAGTGTAAAACCATTCAAACGGTAAAACCAACGGTCTAATCTATATAAAAAACGAGAAACGAGAAACACTTATGAACCACATCAACAAATGACAACTACTGAACATCAGATTCCTGACTTAGGACAGGTGCAAACAAATGCAGCGGGTTTAAACGTTTTAATGGTACCAAACCTTCACCCTTTTTCTGAAACAATAGTATAACATCACAACATAGAAAGACACACTATAAAATATCAACTGAAATAGCTTAACTCAATCAAAGGACATATTAACACCATTGAACATACACTGAACAAATAAATTTGACCTATGATACAATGTAAATACAAAATAAATAAACTAAGGGAAGAATAATAAAATTAACATGTTATATCGGTATGAAAAGTTAAACAATTAAAGAAAAACAATATGCTCGAACAAAAATATCAGCCATTTGCAATAACTTTAAACACAGGTAAATGAAAATAATTTTGTTGTTAGGTATACGTGTACAGTTCCAATAGAGAATGGAAATATTTTTACAAAATAAATAATTTTGATGTTCATAGTACGAAGTGAAAATTTATAGTAATACCAAACACTTATAGTATGTATTGCCTTTTCATGACATGTTTTTATCACTATTAAACCAATTGTTTCAAAAACTTAAATAAATGGATAAATGGATATAATCTGTAAATAGTCAAAATGAATACAGATCATCAATATAAGAACTACAAAATGCCAATAAATAAGATTTACAAATAAGCAAACATAAGTGAATGAATAGGTTAACATATAGATATGGCATATTTTACCCGATGAGTGATTTATGGGCAAGCTGAAAATAAGACTGGATGAAAATGCATATTCTGCGATACAAAATGCAAAAAACAATTAACGTACAAAGGTCAAAATATATTATTGCATAGCAAAGCCGCTGAAAAAAATAAACATGCGTACCAACAGATGAAAATGAATAGTCAATATATGCAAAAAATCCTCCTGTCCCCCTTTCCATATTAGTTACTTAGAAACCTCCGTTATTAATGCGATGTAGTATTTAAATAATATACTATTTACCATATAAAAATAAGATGTGGTATGAATGCCAATGAGTCAACTCTCCACCAAAGACCAAATGAAATAGAAGTTTACAACTATAGGTCGCCGTACGGCCTTCAACGACGACAACCCCATGATGATACCGCATAGTCATTATAAAAGGCCCGAAATGACAAATGTAAAACAATTCAAAAAAGAAAACTAAAGGCCTAATTTATGAAAAAAACAATGAATGAAAACAAATATGATATACAGCAACAAACGACAACCACTGAATTACAGGCTCCTGACTTGGGACAGGCGCATACAGAAAAGGGGGGGGGGGGGTTAAACTAGATTGTTGGCGCCAAACCTAACCTGGGACAGTGGTGTAATAGTACAGCATAAGAACCTCTTTATTTTAGCATATTTTGTTGTATAATTCCAATAATCAGAAAATAAAAGAGAAATTGAATTCAAATGTCATTTTTCATTTTTGTTTTTTTTGTTATGATTTCTCAAAGAGAAAAACAAATGAATGCAAGAATACATGGACCATACAGACATAAATTTCATCTATATGCCATCCTTAATAATTTTACAAAATTTGTAAATGACAATTAAACATGAATATTTAACAGTTAACTTTTCACTTGATGATTTGTTTTGACAGATGGCAGTAGATGCTGGTGGTCCACGGAAAGAATTTTTCAGATTAATGCTTCAAGAAATTAAGAAAAAGTATTTTGACAATGGATTTCGTGATTTGAGAGCCAATGTTTATGTGTCCATTGGAAAGTTATTTGGTAAGTGTTAGCTGAGGATGCATTGTTTTGGTTTTAACAATTGGAGAGGGCCATTATGTGTCCTCCTGGCCTTAGGATTGTCTTACTAGTACTGAATGACTCAAATATCATATTTATATGCATTTAAGTGCAACAGGTTTGCTATTGCCATTACTAGTCTGGTAGTCTGCCAACGTTGTGGACTCTTTGGAACCCAAGATGTAATGTGTACTTAAGTATTAATCGTTTCCTATATGCCATCAACTCACTAACTGTGGCATAAACCAATGTCAGCTTATAATACATAGACAATAATAGTGCATTGACTTAAAGGGAAAGTCCGCGATTTTTTACTTATCATCTAAATATGTTCATCTTAACATAAAAAACACATTTACAAAGTTTTAAATTTATATTCTTTCTAATAATGGAGAAAATCAAGTATTTGTAACTTTTTTGGTTGACCTACGTCACTGGGTTGTGACGTTTTAACCCGATTTGTTGAATGATGGGAAAAAATAAAATCTGTTAAAGTCGTAATTGCTTATCAGAATTTTACGTAATTAAAAGCGCACAGATGACCGTTGGTCGTAGTTAATAACCACAATATAAGAATGAAAGAAAATGAATATGTGTGTACCGTTTTGTATTGATTGAATAAAACTTCCTATATGAAGTTATCTAAATATAAATATTTTCGAATTAATTTCATAAATTATTGAGATTTTTTTCATAAAATATCTATAGAACATTTTTACTGATATTGAACTGAAAATATTTTAAGTTTTATTTACCGTTATAACTTTTATAACTATTTCAATGCAAAATATTTGTGAACAGAGTGTGTATATTATTTTGTAAAGTCATTGTTTTTAATCCTCGATTTGAGGAGAATTCGTTTGAACTTTACCTTGCAGCAATTTAGCCTCAGGCGTACACAGGTGTGAATGCAAGAATACAGAGGTGTGAATATTGTCATTTTGAATTGATTAACAGAAAGAGTATAGCTTGTTTAATATACCCAGATGAAATACCCGATGACAATAGAGAAACAATAATTAAATTGTATAAATTAATTGAAAATTAACATTCAACTTTTTAATTCCGGAAGTGTTACAATATTAAAATGGAACAATTTTCGGTTACGTTCTATGCAATTAGCATAAAGTTAAGATATATGAAGTTAAAAGAATAGTACTTTTAATCTTAAAAAATAAATGTTACATTTCCCAATTAATCATCATTGCACATCTGTTTAATATACTTTTTTACCGGAATTCTTTAACTTGTATTTAAATCTGGCGATGTTTAAATGCTAACAATCGTAAAACTATCGCAATTTTAAAGTTTTTAATTGAAAAAATACAACAGTACATGTACAACATGCATGATTTTTTTTAATTTTCTTATGAACATTTCATTCTTACATAATTAAGTTCATTTGACAATCTCTTAGACAAATTATTTGTGAAAAGAATACCAATTATCGTTTATTTCATTAATGAATATAATTATATACATTATAAATCTAAGCTAATACATTAATTTGTTTGAGGATTTTTTTTAGGATAGCCGTCATTAATCCAAATAAGTAATACAGTTGTTGTAATTAAAGGCATATCTTAGTAATGTATTACTGATATTGACGATTTTAGAACAGTTCGTCCCAACCTCGTTGTTCTTTAAAAAATCTTTACTAGTATACTTGTAAGTTTCCTGACGTACGAGCGTATAAGCGCCATTGAGGATGAGCTCCAGAGATAGCAGACTATAGTAGCGTATTTGTTTGTTGGGCAGGAGAGGCCATGTAACCCCTTGTGTGTATACCACGAAGAAGATCTGAAGGTATATTACTCCCATTTTGTTTGGGTGTCAACCATCGATGTTTACAGTAATATTTAATGAATATTTAATGGAACATGATACAAAAGATAAAAGGAAAAAATTCTAAAGCCACAGTTAAACATTTAAAAAATGGCAATGATTTATTAACATCTGAAAAGGATATTGCCAACAAGCTTGGTGAAACTTTTGCGAAATCTTCTTCTTCTAACAACTACAGAGAAGATTTTAAAAAAGTTAAAAAACAAAAAGAAAAAATTAAATTAAACTTTAAATCAAAAAATGGTGAAAATTATAATAAACTCTTTTCTCTTGAAGAACTTAAAACATCTCTGTCAAAAGCCCATGATACAGCTTGTGGGCCTGATAATATTCACTACCAACTGTTAAAACACTTGCCAGATTCCTCGCTGGAAGCTCTTTTGCAGCTTATGAATAACATCTGGGAATCTGGTGATTTACCATCAATCTGGAAGCTTGCAACCGTCGTGCCTATTCCAAAACCAAGTAAAGATCACACGGATCCTATTAATTATCGGCCAATTGCTCTTACCAGTTGTGTCTGTAAAACACTAGAACGGATGGTTAATGATCGCCTTGTTTGGTTCCTGGAATCCAATGGGCTTTTAGCCAATATCCAGTGTGGATTCCGCCAAGGTCGCAGTACTCTTGACCATCTTGTTCGATTCGAATCATTTGTCCGTAATGGTTTTTCGAAAAATGAACATGTAGTGTCGGTCTTTTTCGATCTAGAAAAAGCCTATGATACTACATGGAAGTATGGTATTTTAAAAGATCTGTTTGATATGGGGTTGAAAGGCAATATGCCAAATTTTATTTCGAATTTTTTATCTAACAGACAATTTAATGTTAGAGTAAATTCAACCATGTCTGATCTGTATGATCAAGAGATGGGTGTCCCTCAGGGCAGTATTTTATCTGTTACATTATTTAGTCTTAAAATCAACAGCCTTGTTGAAGTTTTAAAAAGTAATATTGAAGGTTCATTGTATGTTGATGACTTTTTAATATGTTATAGAAGCAAAAATATGAATAACATAGAAAGACAATTACAGTTATGTCTTGGAAGAATTGAAAAATGGGCCTCGGAAAATGGGTTTAAATTTTCCATTTCAAAAACGGTCGGGATGCATTTTTGTAACAAAAGGAAATTGCATCTTGATCCAGAACTCACTTTGTACGGCAACCCAATTAAAATGGTTGATGAAACCAAATTTCTTGGGTTAATTTTCGATAAAAAGTTAACCTTTCTACCCCATATCAAAATGTTAAAATCGAAATGTTTAAAAGCATTAGATATTTTAAAAGTTGTCGGCAGCACCGACTGGGGTGCTGATCGCAACATTTTACTTAATTTATATAGATCTCTAGTTAGATCTAAACTAGATTATGGCTCTATAGTGTATGGCTCTGCAAGGAAGTCCTACATACAGATTCTCGATGCTGTGCATCATCAGGGTTTGCGTCTCTGTCTTGGCGCATTTAAAACCTCACCAGTTGAGAGTCTGTATGTAGAGGCTGATGAGCACTCACTCTCTAACAGACGTTTGAAGCTTGGACTTCAATATGCTGTCAAACTAAAAGCCTACTCAGATAATCCTGCCTACAGCTGTGTTTTTAATCCAATGTATGAAGATATTTTTGCAAAACATGAAAATAAAATTCCTCCGTTAGGTATACGTTTAAAATCACATTTAGCTTCTTTTGATTTAAAATCTGTTGCTCAAGTTGAAACTTGCAAATGTCCTCCATGGGAACTTCCCAAACCAAAAATGATATTTGATCTCCGTGAACACAATAAAAATAAAACAAATCCTCTTTTAATTCAGCAACACTATGCTCAAATCAAAGCCAATTATTCAGATTTTTCAACTGTCTATACTGATGGATCAAAAGATGGTGACAGAGTTGCATCTGCTGCTGTCTTCAGGGACAGAGCTGCAACTCTCCGTTTGCCATCTGATGCATCGATCTTTACTGCTGAAGCAGAAGCAATAATTTTGGCTTTGAAATTTATTGCTTCTTCAGATAAATCCAAATTTATTATATGTTCTGATTCACTTTCATGCTTACAAGCTATACAAAATACTAAAATTAAAAACCCAACAATTCTCAAAATTTTATATGTAATGAGGAATTTAAAAATTCTTCTTAAAGAAATATTATTTCTATGGGTGCCGAGTCATGTTGGAATCCTTGGAAACACAGCTGTAGACCTTGAGGCAAAGAATGCCCTGGGTGACCCTTTATCTAACTGTGATATACCATATACCGATTTTAAATCTAATATTAGAGAATATGTTTTTAATATATTGAAAAATGAATGGAGTAAAAAAGATGGTAATAAATTACATGAAATTAAACCTAATTTATGTAAACCTTTCAATAATTTTATGTGCAGAAAAGATCAGTGTGTTATTTCTAGATGTCGTATTGGTCATACTAGAATAACACACGAATATCTTTTAAAAAATGAAGTAGAACCACAATGTATACCTTGTAACTGCAAGTATACTATTAAACATGTTTTAATCAATTGTATTGACTTTGCTGATATTCGGAAGAAGCATTTCAATGTCAATAATATGTATAATTTATTTAATAATATTCCATTTACAAATATTGTTTCATTCTTAAAAGAAATTGGAATATATTATAAAATATAAAAATGTTGTTATATTTAAAACGATTTTAATTTTTATCACGTTATCTTAGTGTTGATTTTTATTTGTAAATAATCAATTTGCTTTAGTCTAGAATTTTAGTTTATTGAAAGACCTTTTGTCTGATTTTAAAAATATACCTTAAATTGTTATAATATTCGAATTAGCTCTCGCCGCGATATAGCCTTTCTGTGCTAATGCGGCGTAAAGCAAACAACAATCAATCAATTTAATGAATAAGATGATGATGGTAGAAAGAACTATGAGCGTCATGTGGAAAATATTACATGCATGTCGGACCATGAGTTGTCAATCTGTATGAAAAGATTTCCAATACAACCATATTGAGTAGGAATTTTTACTTGCTATACTCTCGTACTAGTATTACAGAGTTCTTGTGTCTTTTAACTCAGACACAAATCTTTTACTTTAAGATGTATGAAAGGTTCTAAATATATATATATATCTTAAATGTAACAATAATCAAACGCCTATAGGCAATCACTAAAATGGTATGAAGTTTTTATACAGATTTATTCTTATTTACACAATCATTAACAAACTAAATAAATTTAACAAAGTAACACCGTGACACTACGATATAACAAATGGGATACTAATTATGTTTAACCTTAACACATCAAGCAGGAACATATATATTAATATACTGTTCCCAGCATCAAGTTAGTGCACGTGAATATCAATTAGGAACACAATGTGTGATTTTGTATAACTAAAAATATCAAAGCGAGCAATAACTTTGTCAAGCAAACTTTTTTTTCACTATGCCTCTCTTAATCTCCGCTCCTTTACAATAACTATTTCACTTTTCGTCGATCATTCTCTATATTGTTCTCTATTCGGTTATTTTGTTTCACTATGCCACTCTATCTCCGCTCCTTTTTCCCCTGTCGTCCTAATCTTTATAAAGATAGGGACATTAGACATAGAAGGGGCTCTCTTATCTTCAATGAATTAATATTGATAGTGACTATAAGTGCTGCATTACTTTATATATCTGCATGTTTGCCAATCGACAAAAGCTTGTATTTGCGTGAAAAAAATTTTTTTCTTCAAAAATATGGTCCAGAATCATGACAAAACAATATTCATTTCACAAAAATGTTCAAAGGTCATGTTTATAATTTTTTTAAACTTATTATCAGCAAAAATAGTGGATAATATTATTATCAGAACATCATTCATTAAAAGTTGGAATTATAATTTCAAACACACACAAGATAAACAACGTTAGACACAAATATATGGTTCAATAAATGTTACCTGTGCACACCGGGTACCTCAATAAAGAGGCCATGCATGAACCTGTATTATATAATTGTGTAATACGAATTTTTAGTTGACAGGATGTCACTGGAATACCCAGGGACTTGTATCTAATATACGTCCTTGGAATACCTAACTGAATGTGTCGCTCTGACACGACATCTATCAATAATTCTGATATACCTATTATCAATTCGGGAGGAAGCCAAAATATATATATAATAAGATAACGTAAATAAAATTTAAAACCTCTTCCTAACATTGCTCCTTGTCAATAGCCGTTAAATATCATAATTAAAAAAATGTTATTTTATATCGTATAACTTTATTAATTGAAAAATTATCTTGTCTAAATACGGAACTATTCTTTATACAACCCCCAAGGGTGACTGGGGAATAGAAGTATGGTCACCATTGGTCTTCCTCCGACCGGCAGTAAAACCCGTGCTAAAGTGGGGCGTCCGTTTGGCTGTGCGGGATGTACAAATTTTCAGCCACGTCCGGTCAGAATGGGGACGTTAAATCCGATGCCTCGTGTAAAGAGAGTGCCACGCTCTTCGCACGTTAAGAACCCTTGCAACAACTCTTTGAGGGGTCCGTAGGTGACCTGTTGCAAGGCTAAATTTCTGTCCCTATCCAATATACCCTCATTTCCCGTGGCAGTCTAAATTTCTCCGACCTTAATCCCTTAATCTATTACAGAACCTACCTATTGTATTTATTGTGAACTTGTTCTCGTCCTGAATATGCATGAAATATTTGCCACTGGACGTTAAGCAACCAACAATCAATCAATCTTTATACAAATCAATGCACTTTATATAAAAGAGGCATACTAATGAATCTTCTGTAAATCAGTGATTGTTACAAGAACACTGCATTTGTCTTTCTTATAATTGAAACTCTTCTTCCTCATCAAATCTATATTTTTTTTATTCAACGAGATCTTATCATATAAGGATTTGATAACTATAGCTATAAGAACTGCTAGGTTATTTTGTTATTGAAAAAGGATAATTACCATCGAATCTCCCTCGAAACAATATTGTTCAAAATGGTCTTCACACACCAACTTGTGCTTGCTATAGATGCAACTATTTGCTGTTAGTTTAAGGTTGTACAACCATGTCTGATACAATTCTTTCTTTTTTTGTGGGATTGGGAAAACTATGTAGACTTTTGTCATAACCTTGTCTGACAGAACAACCATACACTTGACAAGACATTTTGACACTGCATAACCGTCTACGGTAATCCCCAATTGATGATGGGAGTTTTTAACGCACGGTCGGTAAATCCCTGATTCTTTTTGTTCTTTGTGGTTTATAGATATCACGTGACTTTTTAGATCGAACATGCCGACAAGATGGCGATATGTCGAGAACTGACAGTGAATTTCAAAAATCGATTTTGATCTCTTTACATAGAGAATAAAAGTTTTTATTTATGAACATGTGGTTTTTTATGCTTAAAGAACAAAATATCAATTTTTCATTTTTTTGCGGAGTTTCCCTCTTACATATCAACGATATAAGGATGAGGCTTAGAAACGGGGAAATGCGAGGCTCTGCCAAACTTTTTCCATGTTTCGGGCCGAATCCTTATATCGTTGATATGTAAGAGGGAAACTCCGCAAAAAAATGAAAAATTGATATTTTGTTCTTTATATGTCAAGGCAATGCACTATTATTGTCTTTATACTGCAATCTAGAAAACACATTTTCAATTGTTGTTTAATGTGTTAATGTTATTTATTTGATTTAAATATTGGGAATGGACTAAAATATCAACAATATGCATAAACATAATGATTTATAGGTTGAGCAGTAGGATTTTGAAATATATCCTGACCTGATAAGAGTTAAAAGTAAAGTAACCTTGCTTGAGACAGGATGAAAATAGAAATTCTGCAACACTAAATGCAGGGAACAATTGTTTACAAAAGTTTTTAAAATTTTCATGCTGGCCGCAAAGAAAATAAGCATGCAAAGCAACAGATGAAAATGAATAGTCAACCTCCAAAATATCCTCTTACCACCCTTGAAAAAAGGGTGCATTCATCCCCCTCTGATGATCACCTAGGGCAATGCTGGTTCTCATTTAAACTTTTCAGGTAAGCATCATGTTGTGTTGGTTTAAATTGCTATATAAATTCAAATAGACTTAACATTTGATAATGAGAGTGATTTGCATATCTAATGGGTAAAAAAATGGAAAAAGTATAAGGTTATTCTTTTGTATTAAATGTATAAGATTTTCAAAATGTTGCCAATTTCATTGCAGCCCTTAGCATTCTCCAAAACGGAAAGGTTCCCCAATTTATGGATACAGAAACCCTTGATAAAATTTTTGGCGATGAACCCTTGAATTTAGAGGAGAATAGATGCATATGCAGTTTAAAAGAAGGACTAGATACTCTTGGTATTGTCGAGGTAGGCATTGTAGTAAACCACCTACAAAACATAATGATGGAATCATACATTAAGATGGAAAAATGCAAATTGAAAAGAAGTAGGAACATTTAGCCAATTGCAGTATGCTAATATTATGGTTAAAATGTTTGTCAAATTCTGTAGATCTATGTCAGTTCTCAGAGTTTGGCAGCTAATTTGTTGGTGTCCACTCCATTGATTATACTGATCATTGTCTTATTTGTCTGTCCTTAAAATGTGTAGAACTATATTGTTAACCAGTAGCAAGGCTGCACATTATATCTCAAACCGATTTCCGTTTTTAGCTCACCTGGCCCAAAGGGCCAAGTGAGTTGTTCTTGTCACTGAGCGTCCAGTGTCGTTGTTTTGTTAACAAAAATCTTCTCTCTGAAACAACTGGGCCAAATTTAACCAAAATTTACCACAATCATCATTAAGGTATCTAGTTTAAAAAATGTGTCCCATAACCCAACCTGTTAACCAACATGGCTAAAAATAGAACATTGGGGTAAAATGCAAGTTTTTTCTTTTATCTTGAAAATCACAATAAATAGAGAAAATCTGACAAGGCAGAAATGTTCAAAATGATGAGATCTATCTATTGTCCTTTAAATCAAAACTGTCAAACGACTTCTTGTAGGATTTATTGCGCTTAAATGACAAATTTTACTAATTTTATTTTTAGTTTTGCCAACTATCTTAAAAAATCATAATAGAAAAGCAGCAAAAATGATCAGCAAGACAAGATATACAAGTAATTAAGTCTCCCAAACGAAGTTTTCAAAATGGCTGCCGTTGCCATGGAAACCGCAAAAATGTGATTTTTTTTAAAATGCTCTGAATGTACTGAAAATTTAAAGAAAGATGTACATGCATATATGTGCATTCACCAAATTTTTTGAAATGGCTGCCGCTTAGTGGCAATGGGGGAAGGGTGACATCCGCTATTGCTTGCAATGGCAATTCTAGTTATTATTATTATTCTTCTTCTTCCTCTTCCTCTTCCGCCGCTTTAAAATTTGAACTTGTCCGCACCCGTTCTCCAAAACCGCTTGTCCGATTAACTTAGGGTTTCACAATATGTTCGACTAACATGTCTAGTGGTGCAATCAGGGTTTTGTTTGTGCATTGGGGTTTGTAAAGGGGTACTTTGAGGAGCAAAAAGAAAGGAGGGTTTTACTATAGAACCCTATGGGATTTTTTTTTTTTATTTTTCAAATGATTATAAATTAAAAACCGTTTGTGATAGACACAATCTTTTTAATTGAAAATGTTCTAAATGATAAAGCAGATTAAATGAAACAAAAGGTTAGTCCTCAGGGGTTATCCCCACCCCCTGCCATTTGAAAAAGTTTTAATATCTTCTAAATGGTCAAGATCCCCACCCTAAACCATATATATTCTGGTTAATCATGCAAAGATGGTTTGAATGATATACAGGGTTAGTCCCCAGAGGTCATCCCGACCCCCTGCCATTTGAGAAAGTTCTAATATCTTGTAAGTGGTAAAGATCCCCACCCCTAAACCATATATATTTTGGTTTGTCATGATAAAGCACATCAAATGAAATAAAGGGTAAGTCCCCAGGGGTCAACCCCACCCCTGCCATTTGAAAAAGTTCTAATATCTTGTAAGTTGTCGAGATCCCCACCCCTAAACCATATATATTCTGGTTAGTCATGATACAGCACATCAAATGAAATAAAGTATTAGTCCTTAGGGGTCATCCCCACCCCCTGCCATTTGAGAAAGTTCCAATATCTTGTAAATGGTTGAGATCCCCTCCCCTAAACCATATATATTCCTGTTCGTCATGTCACAAAGATTCGAATGATATATAGGGTCAGTCCCCATGGGTCCCCCCATCCCCTATGATCTACAATCTTGTAAATGGTTGAGATCCCCACCCCTAAACCCTATATATTCCTATTTTTCATGTCAAGAAGATTTGAATGATATATAGGGTCAGTCCCCAGGGATCACCCCCACCCCCTGCCATTTGATAAGTTCTAATATCTAGTAAATGGTGAGATCCCCGCCCCTAAACCATATATATTCCTCTTCGTCATGTCACAAAGATTGAAAGACATATAGGGTCAGTCCCCAGGGGTCCCCCCACCCCTAATGATCTTATATCTTGTAAATGGTCGAGATCCCCACCCCTAAACCATATATAGTCCTATTCTTCATGTCGAGAAGATTTGAATGATATACAGGGTCAGTCCCCAGGCATCACTAATGCATATAACTATACAGGACCAAACCAATTTTCACTGGACTGTGTGATGTCAGGCGACCCTGGGAATGACGAATTATGGGAGCTTCGTTTGGGAGACTTCGTAACAGCATCCTGTTACAATCATTTCTTGTTCAATAAGGTTGAAATCGTCAGAGGACTCTTAATTGGAGTTATTGCCCTTAAATGACAATTTTTATCATTTTTTTGCGTTTTTGTCTAATATCTGAAAAACTATAATAGATCATAGATAGAAACTTTAATAAGCAAAATGATCAGCAAGACAAGATCTACAAATAAGTATATGGTTCGAAAGTTTTTACTCCTAATTAGACTTATCGCTCTTTAATTACGATTTTTAACGATTTTTAGCGTTTTGCCTCTTATCTTGCAATTGAATTATTATAGATATAGCCACTGTAAATAAAAAAAAATGATCAGCAAGACATTAGATCTACAAATAAGTCAAAGTTTGCTGAAATCGTTAGTAGATAGATATAAGAAGATGTGGTATGAGTGCCACTCTTTATAGGTGTGATTGCCCTTAAATGACAATTTGTACCCTTTTTTTTGTGTTTTGGGCAAACACTGAAGAAGATAGAGATAATCTGTAAACAGAAAAAAATTGATCAGCAATACAAGATAAAAAAAAGAGATTTTTGTCATGAATTCTATATTTAAGTCCACAATCTTTGAGAGTATCCATTGTTGAAGATACTCTTAGACCTACTGTGAGGACTGTGAAGGAAATCAAAATACAAAATCGTTACTTCAATGCATTCCTTTGAGAATTGGGTTACATGTTCAAATACTTGAAGAGTTTGGTTTCTGATCGACTTTATTTTCAGTTCAGAATCTTGAGATTAGTCCTGTAGGGGTCAAAATCAAAATTGACAAAATTTGATATCCAAATTGGATCACAGTACTGTACCAAATGCAAAGGACAATTGTTAATCTGCATTGCTGTTATTTGCCAAGAGGTTCATTGTGGTAGAAATTTTAGCCATACAGATTGTTAATTTCATTTTTTTTGGTTACAACACCTTTTCTGGATTTACCTTCATCAGGAATGCTCAAAGCCAAGGATGTATAAGAAATGAAACAGTTGAAAACCTATATAACCAAAAAGGACACTAAAAAAATAGCCAAATCCATCTAAGGTCAACTTTGCCTGAGGGAGTTGATACCTTAGTTTCTAATAATTTTAAAATTTATTAACAGACAATTTAAAAAAAGTAGAATTTATTAAAGTGAATTGATTATCAGTGTTTCTCTCCAGTTATTGCAGTTTATTAAAAATTCTGACCTAATTTAATTGCAATTTGTTTTATCATGTCAGAAATATTAACCAACTGCAAAATCAAGTCATCAAATTGCAAAGTGTTAAAATAAAGCAAACTTACAATCCTACAAGACTTGAATTCTGTTACAATCTTTTCTGATTTCCACAATGATTGAAAAAGTTAGGTTGATTGATTGAAAGGAATTTTCTCTCTGCACATAATCTCTTTCCCCCTCTTGCATTTTTGGCTTACAACATCATACATATTCCGTTGACAATATTTTTTTTTATGCAGGTTGTTAGAAATTTGCCAACATTGAGACATATCTTCAGCAACAATTCACCAAGGCTAACCGTTAAAAAGCTCATTCAATTGCTGAAGCCAGAATTTAGTGAAAGAGGTTCAAATAGATTAACACTGGAGAAGAATGTGTATTCATCTTTCATGAGATACATCAGGGAAGTTTCAGGTATGTGGTTTAGTGGTAAAATAGTAGCAAATATTTATATGTCCTTGTAAGCTTGTCTGAGCCAATGGGTCATGGGAATCATTGCCATCATTTTTTTCCATTGACTATGTAAACTTTGAATTACTGTGCTTATTCAGTAGGCTTTGCCCTATCACAATACCAATTTCTATTTTTTTTCCAAATCGCAGTTTGAAGCACCTCTACACACTGATCAACTGGTGAAACATTTTAGCTCATTGCTTCAGTGTAAGGTTGTTAGTAGCAGTAAAACAAATAATGCTTAAATTAATTTTACCATCCACATCCAACTAAATAATGTCTAGCTGTGTCAACATTGAAATAAAATTATCATCTACATTGTACTTTATTATAAGCAACACTGCTTTATAAAGGTTTGAATTGGATATGAAAACTTCTATCTCATTGACATTTTATAAGTTATTAGTTCAAAACATTGTTTTATTTGTAAATAATTCATTGCTTTGTTTTCAAGACTAACAAAAAGTTATTGTGTAATTTTGATTTGGATATTTTTCTATAGCTAGTACTTATCTGCTAATATTAAACTAAAGGGAAATAATTCACATTATTTATAATCAGCAAAATCTTTATGTTCTGTCAACTATCAAACCAGATTTATATTTTGAAATATAAAAAATATGTATATATACTGAATACACTATTTTTTATTCAGTATTCAGTATTGATTCATATATTTTTTTCAAATCTCGTACCTGTGCTATCAATGGGGGTCTCATTGGGGGGGGGGGGGGGGGGGGGGGTTCTGATCCTGGATCCCGCTTACTGTTTTGTCAGATTCCCGTATCCCGCTTAGACTATGTACGTAACCAATTCTCATTTTTTTGTAATTTCCCTTGTCCCGCTACACTTCATTTCCTTTTCACGGCACACAATAATTTGACTTTCATGTGTCACGCTTACAAAAAATAGGCAATCCCGCGTCACGCTTAGACCCCAATGAGACCCACATCAACTTTCATATTAACATTTTAAAATTCATTTGTTTTCAAAATTACTTCCTTTATTATTAATATATTATCTGATGTGTAAATTTATTTGTTAAATGCGTGAAATTTTGTTGAAAACAGAATATTAAAGGGTCATTATATATCAGAAAAATCAGCAATGAGTTGTATATATCATAGATTCTTCTGTAAATTATCATACGCTGACTGAATATAAATTATTTCCCTTTAATGTCAGCAGAATCAGTAGTTGCTATAGGAAAAAATATCCAAAATAAAAATACAGTATGGCCTTCAACAATGAGCTAAACCTATACCCTATAGTAAACTATAGAAGGCCCCAAAAATGACAAAACAGGAAAAAATTCATTCAAAAAACGGCTTGATTTATGACCAAAAAAAATGAAAAAACAATTATATATGACAGACAACAACCGATGACTGAATAAACCAATAAATTGTAGGCCTCTGACTTGGGACAGGCACATATAGAATGTTCGTAAAGGCTCAACCCTCCTTTAAAATGGGAGTTGGTGAAACAGCACAACATAATTACAAACTGTAAACATCAGTTGAAAACGGCTGAATTTTTAACTTGTGACAGATCTAATGATACACAAAAACAATCCCCAAAAAACATTTAAGTCAAAAGACACAGAGTACAATCTAGTCTAGATTACTCGCAGTTACTGAAAACTAGTTCAAAGCTAATAACAACTAATAAAAAAATTATGTTTCCCCAGAGCAAAGTATCAATATGTACACATCCAATGGATGTAGTGTACAGATGTCATAAACAGTCTGAGGAAAGCATGACTTTGGACCATGTCAAATTACAAGTACATAATATGACAGTACACATTATGTATAGAACCATACATTTTTCATAAATGCATATAAGAAATAATAGTTTAGTTATGTTTTAATTTATCAAAAACAATATACAAAAATCTTACTAAGGTGTGAAATTGATATCCTTGAAGATAAAGTGTATTCAAATGCAAAACATTTTAGTGTGTCAATTTTTGTTTACTTTCAAATGAAATGAAAATAAGAAAATATAATAGTGAAATATTACACTTTTATTTTCCAGCTGGACGGAGAGGAACCTTAAATCTAGAGAGTATTTTAGAATTTGTCACAGGAAATGACCAAGAACCTCTCCTTGGTTTCGAAATTGAACCATCAATTTTATTTACCGAATGCACAGAGTCCTTTCTACCTATGGCAAACACGTGCATCTGTAGAATGACCCTTCCCAGAGGAACACAATTCGTCACTCTACCAGAAGATTTATCACTATTTGAAATTTACGACTTATCCTTCTCAAATAGTTACTATGGACTAAAATGATGTTGTATTTGTTTTATTAATACAGAGCTTTACCTATCTTTTTGCTTCAACACATGTATCTATTTCTCAAAATTTGTGTGCAATTAGAACAATTTTTACAGAAAAAATATATGCACCCCAACATATTATGCAAAACTACCATGTAAAATTTCATTGGCATCCTCAGCATACTTTTGGAAGATTTAAGTTTTACAAACATGTTTTACAAAATTGTTTGACAGATAGATACAACTATCCACATCCTGGATGAGACGCCTTAATTAATAATTCTTGCAACATAACTGCATTCAATAAAATTTGGTTCCTTTGCACTTGATTCACATTGGTGTTGTAGCAAGTGATGGTTAATATTACCAAATTAAAAATAGAATTAATGAACTACACAGCCATGCATGTACTTTATATCTTATAAAGCTCAGTTGCCTCTTTAAGGTTACAAGGTTACCAGTGATGACAATAGCACACAAATAAAGCAATAATTGCAATATTAAAAAAACAATCCATAGCTATTTTGCATTATATACATGTAGATGTGCATGTAAGTTTGGGGGAATGTTGGCTTTCTTTAAAATCACAAGTTTTGAGAAATTGATTTTGTAAACATCAAAAATCCAAAAGTATGGGTACATATAAGAGGCCAGTTAAAAAAAAAATCCGCAGTTGTTTAACGTAATATGTAGATCTGCATATTGTTATTATTTTTTTTGTGAGAAATTGACCAATTAATTTTTGGAATTGGTCATTTTTATTATTTAATCACAAATCTTGAAAAAAAAATTTTAATGCAAAAACTACAAAATGATGGTTTCGACACAGATGGAACTTTGCACAGTTGTTGCGCTAAATATGTCAATATGCAAACTATTTTTTGTATCAAATCACTAATTTTAGAAACAACATTTTTTTGCTAGGATTTCAATGAAAACGGATGTATTGGTATAATATGCTTCACTATACTCTAGATTGATTCCAGATGTCAAAATTATTTCTTTAAAAATGATATGGGGAAGGGGGGACACAGAAAAGTAAAAAAAATCTCTTTTCTTGAGAAGCATCTTTTTGTGCTAGTATTTCAAGGAAAATGATTATATGTGTATAATAACTATTCCAAATGATTCACATTGACAACAAAATAATTTTTGGTGAAATCTAAGACAAATGTTGCTTTCACTTATTTTTTTTTAAATCAATAATTTGAAGAGTTTTTGGGTAAAAATTTAAAAAGTATTTTTTTATGTTATCATTTTACCAAAATCGAAGTATAGGTATTTCAAATTTATTGCCAGCAGCAAAAACTTTTTTTTTAAATTGTAAAAAAATGGAAATGAAAACCGTTTTTGTTCAAGAAACTAAAATTTTGGAAAAAATATTTTTTACTAAGTCTAGGATTTAAAAAAAAATGGAAATATAGGTTTAATATACCATTCCAAATTGATTCCTTATGTCCAAAATTATGTCAACCACCAATGTCTGCCATAAAACATCTTGTAAAAATAGTCCACTCAGATTTTAATGAAACTTGATGCTGTCAAAAAACATGTCCTGAATTTGTTTCTGTTGGTAAAATTTACTTGAAGAAAATTTAAACCCTACTGAATGATTTTGCTTTGTTTGTATCAGAATTAAGTTTGTTTCTGTTCCTCACATACAAATGTTCAAGCAGTGTCTTTACTGAAATCCATTTTTTCCAGTTTAATTACATATTCAGTTTGGAAATTAGTTCCATAACTATTTTCACTAAATATTTTTGATATACACATGTACTTATACATGAATGTTGCCAGGGGATTACATATTATTATTGTTGTGGGTGATGATTCATGTGTACTTTTCTTATTTTTATTTCAAATATTGTGTGGCTTGTCGTTTTTCAATTCGGCATGCATTTTCCAGGAAGGAAAAGACAATTTTTGTCATAATCTGTATTCACGGGTTACTTTATTTTGAAAAAGGATTTTTTATGTTGGATTTTGTTGATGATTAAGTGGTAAATTGACAAATGTAATTTGATGTTTAATTTTGTTTCACTTTTAAACAAAACTGTTTGCATAGTTCAACAGAGTATTACCCCCAAGGGTGACTGGGGAATAGAAGTATGGTCACCATTGGTCTTCCTCCGACCAGCAGTAAAACCCGTGCTAAAGTGGGGCGTCCGTTTGGCTGTGCGGGATGTACAAATTTTCAGCCACGTCCGGTCAGAATGGGGACGTTAAATCCGATGCCTCGTGTAAAGGGAGTGCCACGCTCTTTGCACGTTAAGAACCCTTGCAACAACTCTTTGAGGGGTCCGTAGGTGACCTGTTGCAAGGCTAAATTTCTGTCCCTATCCAATATACCCTCATTTCCCGTGGCAGTCTAAATTTCTCCGACCTCAATCCCAGACGCCTCTATTACAGAACCTACCTATTGTATTTATTGTTAATTTGTTCTCGTCCTGAATATGCATGAAATATTTGCCACTGGACGTTAAGCAACCAACAATCAATCAATCAATCAACAGAGTATTCTGTTAAAACAAAATATATGTTGCCCAAATAATGTGTACGGTGTTACAATGTAATGTTTGAAGTACTGGACATTGTTTTTTTTATGGTTTGAATTGGGACATTTTTATGAAATAATTTTCTCTTTTGATATATGGCATTTGGAATATAAGCTAATATACAGAAATATAGAAATGCTAGATACCTTTCACAATTTAAGTTGACTGATATACCAGTGTCTGCCAAATGAAAGAAACTGGAAAATAAAGACTGATAGAAATATTGTTTTGATATATGGAGATGTACCACGACCTGAAAAAGTGGTCAGCAACTGCTTGAAAAAAAACACTGGTCAAAAGTGCATGTGACTTAAAGTGTGTTTAAAAGTTGTTCATCTTTTGATAGTATTAATACCCCCGCCTTGATAGGGGATGCTATATATAGTTGCACATGTCCTTCTACCCTGTCCGTTTAGCTGTCCGTCTTAATCTGTCCATCACAAGAATTGTTTCTGGATAATAATTCAAGTATCACTTGACAAAATCTTTGAAAATTTTAACACAATGTATTAAACCATAAAATACAGTTCAAGTTCGATTTTAATGGTTTTGGCATTTATCGTTCAAGACTTATACTCCTTATTGGTAGTTACCTAAATAATTAGATGTGTTTTTGTGCTTTCCTAATAATTGCTATACAGCTTCACCAAATCTTTGGAAATTATAACACAATGTCGTGGACCATAACATACAGGTTGACTTGATTTTGACATTTTTGATGAATAACTGTTCATAAGTTATGCACCTGAACTGAACCGTATTTTCCTTTCATGGTATCCTTATAATTACAGTACCGGGTATAACTTTGTCAAATCTTTGAAAATTTGAATACCAGTATTTGTAGTTTATAATGACATATATAGGTCCTACAAAGATACATGTATATAAAATTATATAAACAGATAAAATTGTTGCTGTACATGTAATATGATATGGGTCTGATGTAATTGTTATCTGTACATGCACTTGAGAAGTTTGTGGCCTTGAAGCAGCTAACAAAATAAAATGTAATCAGGATTGCAACGTTGCTTTACATTGAAATTATTTATTTCAAGATATTCCGAAAAAACTCATGACATTCCATTCTGCATAACAAACTCTGAGCAGGAGTGTCTGTGATCCTAATATCACTTAAATCTAGCTGTTAACATATAGGTTAATGATTTAACGATGTATCATCAAATATCGTTACTACTACTTAGAATCTTATTAAGCAAAATATCAAGGTTTTTTTTTTATAACTAAGGGGTGTTATTATTTTTTTTTTTTGCCATTTGAAAATTCAAACAAGACCGAAGACAAATATTGTATATGAAAAATTTGATTGCAGTTTGCAAATTGCAGCAGAAAAAACTTGTGAAATTCTCCTTATTTTAGTAATGGTAGTCAGTGGTTACAGTCACCAACCACAGAATCTGGAGTGTACACAGTATTAATGTCCATAAAATTTTGATGACAAATGTGCATAATAAAACCTTTGCTAGTTTGTTTCTGCTTCTTACTAACATATTTCATTCATTGCAAGTAAAAAGCCGTTGTGGTGGTCAGTCTTTTTTTGAAAAGGGGTTATAAACATATCATCTATTGAAATACTGGAACGTTGTACTAGCTTTTTCTAGAAAGTATCTATCAGAAATACCAGAATAAAGATTATATGCATCAAAATTATCAAGTTCATTTCTCCTTAAATACGGTTCTTGCACCTGTACAGGAAGTTTTATCATAATCTAGCACTAATTGTATAGTTTTATTGTTGATATTCACCCCATATGTGCCAAGTGTTAGATTAGTTTTACTGATATTAAAGAAATTTCTTGGTATTCCTAAACGGAAGATTTTATACACACAGAAGAAGAAGTATACTTAACAACAAAATTATTTTCATTTACCTGTGTATAATATGACGCAGGTTTCTTCAAAAGTGATGATTTTCTAAAAATTGTTTGACATTTCACAGTGATATCATACTTTAACTTTGTTTAAACCTGTTTATTTAGTTTTGACTTTATTTATTTATCCCTTATAATTTTTATTAACTGTATTTGCATTCAGGTGTCACAGGTCAAATTTATTCGTTCATTGTGTGTTAATTTACGTTTTTTGATTGAGTTAAGCCTTCCCAATTGATATTTTATAGTGTGTCTTTCTATGTTGTTATGTTATACTACTGTTTCAGAAAAGGGAGAAGGTTTGGTACCATTAAAACGTTTAATCCGGCT